TTTTTCTGAGTATTGATATGTTGTAATGCCTTATTGTCGCTACACAATACAAACTCTTGGTGTAATAAATAGGACTCCCACTGTTTCAATGCACGAATGATTGCATATAATTCTTGTTCGTATGCGGCCCATTTTTGGCGAGCAGGACATAACTTCTCGCTGAAGAAGGCTACCGATCTCCCCGTCTGCGATAGCACCGCACAGACGCCAATGGCCGAGGCGTCCGTGCCCACTGTAAATAGCTTATCAAAGCTAGGAAGTATAAGAACAGGTGCAGTAGTAAGAGCAATTTTAACGAGCTGGAAGCTCTCTTGCTGCTCAGCTCCCCAATAAAAGGACTTAGACTTCAAACAGTCCGTAATAGGAGCCATTAAAATGCTGAAATTTCTTATAAAACGCCTGTAGAAATTAGCTAACCCATGAAAGCTGCGAATGTCAAAAAAAAGAGGAGGGCATTGGCTAGCTTTGTATCGCCGAGATTTTAATGGGATCAACATGTATACCTTCTGCGGAAATAATAAATCCCAAAAACCGAACGGTGGCTGTGGCAATTTCACATTTAGGGAGGTTTAGAAATAATTGGTTTGTTTTTAATACTTCAAACAGCGACTGCAAATGTTGGAAATGCTGTGGCCGGTTGATACTGAACACCAGAATGTCGTCGAAGTACACGATGCAGAACTTGCCAAGGAACGGCTTCAAGACTTCATTCATCATACGCATGAATGTTGAAGGTGCGTTGCAAAGACCGAAGGGCATCACTTTCCATTCAAAGAGCCCTTGTGGCGTTTTAAAGGCTGTTTTCCATTCGTCGCCGGGACGAATGCGAATTTGATGATAGCCGCTCCTTAAGTCCAATTTGGAGAAGACGGTAGCTCCCGAGAGCGTGTCCAGTAATTCTTCAATATGGGGTACAAGAAACCTGTACTTAATTGTGATTTTATTTACAGCCCTTCTGTCGACGCACATTCGCCATTTGTCGTCTTTCTTTGGTACCAAAAGAGCTGGGACAGCACAAGGACTCAAGCTCACTTGAATGAGCTGCTTTGTAAGTAGTTCCTCCACGATTTCAGCTAGAATTGCTTGCTCTTTCGAATTGAGTCTATAATGTGGCAAATTCGGTAGAGTAGCTCCTGGCACAAAATCAATTTGGTGTTGAATGCTTCGGAGTGGGGGCAGCTCGGCGGGTAGTTCCGCGGGCACAATTTCTGCGAATTGTGCTAAGATTTCGGCGATGTCTTGAGGCCACTCCTTGTGTTGCTGACTGGAATTCACTTCTGTAATAAGGAAGGCAAACATCGGAGACGGTTCTCGCCAGCATTGCAATAATTTGGACCCCGAGACGATGTGCATTGCTGCTGTTTTGTTCGCTCCAGTAGAAGTTGTGGTTCCTTCAACAGTTCCTGGCATCAACTTCAGTTTGCGTCCCTTCCATTCAAACGAATAGGCATTCGCTCTGCCCTCATAATGAGCGTCCACATCGAATTGCCAAGGTCTCCCAAGGATTAAATGGCACACGTCCATGTTTAGAACGTCGCACAGTACTTCGCAAACATAATGTTTGTCGATGGAGAATGTGACATTGCAATATTCGAACACTATAATCTCCATTCCTCTTTTCACCCATCCTATCTTATACAGTTGTGGGTGCTTTTTTGTCTTCAATTGTAGACCTTGAACGACGGAGCGGGATACTATGTTTTCGGTGCAACCGCTATCTATGAGGAGATCGCATACCTTCCCGTTGATGGTGCATCTTGTTTTGAAAATAGCATGGCGCTGCGACGGGTTGGACTTCCGCGGTGCTAACAGCAATCGCTCCATAACTCCAAGGAAAGGTTCCCCTTCATCCGCCGGCAGTTCTACTGTCTCCGCCGATTCGTCATTGTCTACTTCCTCTGCTTCAGGATCTTCCTCCAGACCCGCAAACTGTAATTGCTATCGTTGTGGACACTCATTGGACTTGTGTCCCGACTGGAAGCAACGAAAGCACTTCAAAGTTGTCGGTCTAACATAGGGATTGGCATTGGAAGTTGCCTTGGGTTTCGCCGGTGACCTTCCTTCGCCCCCTGGATTGGGTGAAGCGCTCACAGGAGGGACGGAATTGGTGGATTGAGCAGATTTTATTACTGATTGAGAACTCTGCTTTGCACTTGCTGAGTTTGTTTCTTGCCAATGTCTCCGATTATAAGAGCCTTTTGAGTGCCGATTCTGCTGGACTTCAACCTTAAGTGCCAAGTTGACCGCCTGCGGCATTGTCCAAACTGAATTCAGTTCAAGTTTATCTTGAATGCTGTCTTTAAGACCTCCTATGTATCGAGCGACCAGTTGGGTGCCCGATTCTTGCAAATCATTTCTGGCGCTCAGTCGATTGAACTCTTCTGTGTACTCGCTGACAGTGCGTGACCCTTGCATACAGTGTTGGTACCTCATGTAAAGGATCTGCTCATAATCCGTGGGCAAAAACTGAGCTCGTAGCAGTTGCTTCATGCGGCCCCAAGAGCTAACTCGTCCTCTTCCTTCCTTCCGTCTCGTCTGTAGCACTTGTTCCCACTAGGCACTGGCGCCACTTTTCAATCGGCAGGCCACATATTTTACTTGCTTATCAGGAGCGATCTCCATATAATCAAAGAAGTTCTCCACTGCTTTTTCCCAGTCAAGGTAATCCTCAATATGCAAATGTCCGTCAAAAAATGGAATGTCCAGTTTTACCTTAAATTCGCCGGGATGGTGTGTGAACTGATTTACTGTTCTGCGCCGGCGGCCATTAGCCATCCATCCATCATCTGTTTCTTCGCCACTGGAATTCCTCAGATTGACGTCGCGGCGGCGCGGAGGTGTCTCCTCCCCGGAATCGACTGGATCAACATAATACATCGGACCTCGGCGGCCAATGTAGCCATCGGCATTCCGTCTTCTGGGAAGGGGCCTATTTACAAGCATTCCATCCTGATTGAAAAATGGGGTTTCTCTCGCCGCATTGGGATTGAACCCTTGGCGCATTGCGACCATCAGTCGCTGAACGTCTGCCGACAGTTCATCAATCTTCCGATTGAGCTTTTCCTGGTTCACCCACAGTGTCTCTATGGTGCGAACTTCTTCCCTCACCGGTTCCTTGCCGCGGTCTGTCATTGTCTTCTAGCTTTTGGGCTCTGATACCAACTGATTGTCCTTGTACAGGATCGGTAGTACCCGGAAGAAAATACGGAGCAAATACAAGAACACAGGGAAAAGGCACAAGAAATACCTCTGTATATTGTTGTATTCTCCCTGAGAAGAATGTATAAAGATGATAACAAAAAGCTGTCTAATTCTCCCCCTTCCCCTCCTATATGTAATTCCCTGACAAATAAAAAGGTGGTACTAGGTAGTGGAAGCATAAAGTTTGTTACAGCCAGCATGTGTACCGCCGGTTCTTATTTATAATCCTGCACTTGCATCATAAGGCCATGCAAATGTTTATTTTAGTTAAAAGAGGGATGGCTATAATTACAGAATCAATATTTAAAAGCATCACAAAATTTCATCTCAAAGTTATAATAACCCGTATTCAAATTATTAAAATGTCATGACAACGTTGGAGGGAATTTCTTTGTATAAATGTCCATGTCAAAATCAAGTAATTACACAAAATCCTGAATTCATGTTAAGTCAATCAAGTTATCCAAATATATATTTTTTGATTGCAAATAAAAAGTACATAAATTTTGATATAATATAGAAAAATTGTAAATAATTAAATCAAATCCATCTACGAATTTCATAACAACAATGATAAAAGGCCACGATTCCTCAAGTTTGAGGTTGTAAGCCACAACTCTTGGGCCTTTCTTTGGATGTAAGCCTCAGGTCATTTGATTGGGCTGGTGCAAAGACAATAAGCATACTAGATCAAGCTCCAACCATCGGACCATCCTCTGGACGTAGCCCCACCTTTTAAATCAACAGTACAACTGAGCTTTCAGGCATTCACACTCTGTTAAGGCACCTGTAGGTCCTAAGGGGTACAAACCTCCACCATAAGGGTTGATACTACATAAGCGCTAAGGTACCAATGCACCCTAGGGAAGGTCATTCTAAGAAGTGATGCATACCAAATCAAATAAAACAAAGGCATTTCTGTGTCTAGGACATGCTTCTTGAATTGAAATAAAGCTCGTGAATAGCTACTGCCCATGCCATGCATCTAGCCCGTCATTCGTGTCAAGCTCCATGAACCACAAATTGTCATGCTTAAACTCCTATGAATCATTCAACCAAGCTGGTACGATAAGCCTCATGTCAATAATAGAGTCAAGTCAATCTTGAAAGCAAGTTTTTGACAAAGATACCTGAGAGAATTCAACTCATGGTAACTTATCAGGCTCCCTGAACATTAAAGCTTGAAGCCTATGACACAGGTAGATAGGGTACGATGAACAATCCAAAATTTCGGAACTATGAGATATGATTGAGCTTTCCTTCATCCACACAACCATCCCCTACTTAATCATCTTCAAACATAAATAATTGACTATAAGAGGCCTCAATCGAGAGCTCCTTTCTATATATAGGATAACTAATTAGCTACGGGGTAGGTGCCTGCAGGAAGTATCGACCTCACATCTGAATAAATCTTTTGCAACTCATTAGAAATTTGATTCTATGAACCAACCTCTTAAAATCGAAGTCCAATACATGAGTTTTAATTTGCTTAGCCAGGAGCTCACAGCCAATGATAAAGAACATAATATTCCCTAAAAATGATTTCTTTCATCTTAAAAAGTTTTATGCAAAATGAAATTTCCTGCAGCACTAGAACTGCAACCTGTAGCAAAAATAAGGTGGTGACATTGAAATGCATTTACAGGGATTTGGCATGCATGCCCTTCGTTATTGTGGAGTTGTGGATAAAGAGATCAGAAGAACTCTTACAGCATAAAACTTAACCAAGGTTAGGGGTAAAATGTCAGCATTAAAAACAGAATTTTTGGGATGATGGAAATTAGTTAAAGTCTTACTGAAGGTTTTTCCCTGCTCGCTGTATCATAGTAGACACGACTGTGTTATTGATCTTTGGATCCTTTGCAGTCAAGTCAATATTACAGTAACATAATGGATCTCCAGCACACTTACTGAACATGGAGCATGCAGCCGCCGCATAACAAAGACTTCGTGTATCTAGGATGGAAAATACCTTCAAATCACCACAATAAATAATTACCAAATTAGTTTCATCTTTCCGAATATTATAACAGCGCTATTTCTTGATTTGGATAAAATAGTAAACACTAACATCAGGTCAGATCTTCTGTCATAAAGGAAAATTATCATAAACCAGAAGAAATCGTCAAGTGTATAAAAAATATCTAGAAAATATCCATTCAAGCTTAAAAAAATCACAATAAAAAATAATGAATATCACCTGACTGGAATTTGTAAAAGGCTAAATACTGTTTTAGTATTCAAAAATCAAATGAGTTGGCAGATAATACAAAAAAAAAACTAAAAAGAAGAAAATCATTTATAAATCAGAAATAGATATGGAAACCAATAATTCAGAAAATTTGAAAAAAAAATTGTATAGAAAGAAGATAAATAGGCCTTAAAAGGTGCTTTAGCTTTCAAATACGTGGCAAAATAAACAATTCATCCACTGAAAAGACTTGCATAACCCCTAAGCAAAGAAAAAAAAAATTCTACCTCATAGAATAAACACAAATGATGGTAAAAAAGTGAAGAATGTTAATCAGTCTAAACCAAATACAGGAACAAAATGATTACTTGTATATTTTGTCAGACAGGTTTAACTGGCGTGATCTCCATGAAGGAAAAGAATTTAAGAAAAATGAAGAGATCACCCTGAAATTGTTAAAACCTGAATTTAAAAAAAATGAAGCAATATACCCTGAGTATGCAGAAAGTGTTAAAACCTAAGGACCTACATGCTTCGAAATCAGAACTAATTGGATAAACTTTAATTACTTCCTATTTAATTTAAATTTAAATCTAGTATGCAACTGAAGTTTAAAACTCAAGCCTACAAGCATGCAAGTTAAGAGCTTTCATATCTAAATAACCTAAAAAGCATGACCTGTAGACAAATTCAAACATAATCAATATTTTACCGAAGTA